ATCAGAATGCCTAACGGCCTTTCAAAATGCGCTCGAACCAACCCCACCTAATATATATATATATATATATATATATATATATATATATATATTAGGTGGGGTTGGTTCGAGCGCATTTTGAAAGGCCGTTAGGCATTCTGATTGAGACAACTAATCGCAGTCTAACCGTCTCTGTATATGGCGTTTAAAATACCCACTGAAGCACATGGACAGCCAGGTGCAAACCAATTCGTGATCGGATTTGAGGGAAGTGCTCTAGTACGATTGAAGTTCTTGTATGGAATCCCGCCGTTTGCAGCTTATAGCAATGTAGTCGATCTGCGTTCGTCAATGAATCGAGGAGCGCGAACACCAAGTGAAGTACCAGCAATCGGATTGTCTGCAGTTCGTACCGGGGAGGAATAAGCAGTTTTTCNTGGAGGCGACGATCGTTCCTCGTTTCCCGAGCGACAGTCATCTAGCCCAAATAAGCGGCCCATAGACGTCTCTCTCTAAGACATCCAGCCTACTCTAGAATTTATATCTCATACCAAGATCACGATATCTGCTCGCTTTTTGCAAGAGGTTGTGCTGCTTTTGATACAAACTATCTTTGACTAAATCTGGGCTACAGTTCGTCAATGCGTAGGCTGAGACGACAAACAAGTTCTGTCTTGAAGCGACGACTGCTTACTTCGCACAATCGGCTGTTGACCGGGATTCATTCTAAGAGCACGGTTTCAGCTTTCTCTCAGCGCCACCTCACTGCTAGCAAGACCAAAAACCGCCCCCTCAGGTTACCCAGAAAGTGAAACTTCGTGGTGTGGTTTGATGGGGACGTCAATCGGATGATGAAGCTGGAGTATAAAAGTCGAGTCTCTTGGATACAACGAACATCGAGGGTTTAGCTAAACGCCTGTTGTCCTGTACGCACGAGAGTAAGCACAAAATTTGGGTAGTTGGAGTGGGCATCGAGGCGGAAGAAGGACTTCAGTTGGTGGAGGATTCGATGAGCTTTTAGACAGTAGACGAGCTAAGACACGAGAGAACAACGGCAGAGTTTCCATCTGAGACACTACTGTCAGGACGATTGTCTGGACATTCCGATGGAATCTAAACTGTGTGAGCAGAGTAATTGTGAAACGGGGAAAATTTGGGGAAACAGGAAGGTGCGTACGGTGTAGAATGTTTTTTTTTCCAATTGATCAAATCTGTGAGTGCAGATTCGTTGATGAAAGAAAGTTCATATTTCATTTATGTATGTGTTATGGGCCTTTGTACTCCGCGGTCCAGCCCAGAGTGGGCCTTATTCGAGGGTACACTCTAGCCTTCGCGCAACCAAACGCGAACTACAATGCGTCAGCGTTTCACCAGATGATCCGGTGGCCGACTGGTTGGTTCATTCGCCTCTACTGAAGAAATTTGTCGGATAGATAGAACTCGACAAAGGGGCACTGACCATATTCATTAGCGGGCCCCGTTGTCCACGTCAGAACGCTGTCAGTCGCTATCTGCCGTCAAAGTCTGTCCGGAAACAATCCGACCGTCTCAGACAGTGAACGTTAGTCTCATTTTCCGGGTGCTGAATTACGACACCAATCTTGGGATTGCTGATCTGGATATCTGCTACGCGAAGAAGAAAATAATTTTCAAACACACTGTCTCCTCTGCATGATCATGTGCCCATGTCAGACATTGAAAATGGTCTAAACGCAATAAAACTCATCAAACCCCTGAAAAATAAACGTCCTTAAGCAACTCAAAATTCTGTTGATAGATCTATTGTCGGTCTGTTGATTCTGTTGATAGACCTTCGGAAGTAAGGACCTTTCGCAGATGGGGCTGACCTAACCATGCCATAGTATTTCACATTACGAATTTGTGAAACACATTAACTATATACATGTATAGGATATCATATTACAAGTAGATATGGAGTGTTTTCATCAGGTGCAATCCACGAGACCTTGTTCTTAATTTGAACGTGAGTGCTAAGATAGGTTGTGCTTAATTGTGACCAGTTACCCGATGGCCAAGTAGTTAGTAAGCTTGCTCTCTGCCCCTGATGTTCAGGGTTCGATCCGCATTAGAACTAGCAGACAAATAACGCTGATGTTATCCACTGCAGGTAAAATATCTGCTAAATAATTTCGAGATTTCCGTTCAAAATCCCCTTCCACCACTGACGAAGAATCCCCTTATACGACCCTATCAAATCCGCCTGTAAACTTTTCAATCTGTCTGTTTCTCAAAGATGATAAATTACGGCACGCACTAGAGATCGTGTGGCTTGCTCTGTAGGATGAATCTTCCATACCACTCAGCCGTGCCATCAGTAATCACTATACAGCGTAATACAGTAAAGCGAACTTCACCGATCTCTGCAAAACTCATTACGCATAGAATTCAAGTGGGAATGTGTATGAAGGATAGGTATTGGGTGTATTTTGGGGAAGCGGAAAGGAGGAGAAACTCTATAGTCAAAACAGGGTGCACAGTCGAACTGTGAGTACACAATTATTTAAGCATTCAGGTCTAGGAAATGAAAACAAGAGTGCCATGGCTGTCGGTTTTCTGCTATGTCCTTCAGCGTCTCTAACCATCCATCTTTTGAACCCCAACCCAGAAGACCAGAGAGACATACTCTACCTAATCGTCCTTCGCATTTCTTCATGCCTCGTATCCACACCATCTGCTCACCTTTCTCCAGTTTGCAGCGGCCACTGCAAATAAGGCGCGGTGCGGTAGGCTACCGGTAGACGTATGCAAAATGTGTCCTAACCGACGGAGCTTATTGAACTGAATTCGATACGATATTGAGTTCGTGTTCGGTGCATTCCCAAACATCCAACGACTTACTTCTAGGTAGTGGTGGCCATGGGGTAGGTCACCAACTTGTAGCCTGCGTGTCCCGGGTTCTAACCGCTCTACTGCCGCCCGTCTTTCCTATTTCTGTATTTTCCCAAGCAGCCTTTGTATGGTCACAGCCCCCTTCCTGAATGTTGGTTGTACATTTGTATATTCAATACATTGAAAAGGATGAAAAGATACCTTCATTCCCTAACTCTTCTCACTCCATCCCATCTGGGCCCAACTACTTGAGCGTTGATTGTTAAAAACCACTAGGTGATGGATGTCTTCTGCCCGCAAACTCAAAGTTTCACGACTGCAAAGCAGAACTGATGGTACAGTGGCGCGGTATACGCGACTTTTCAACTTTTTATCTATAACCAATCGATCATTCAGCTTCCCTTGCACTTAGCTTAGACGGATCATGCGAAAATAAAGTAAATTCATTCACTATGGACAGGGGCCACAGTGACTACTATTTTCCCACACGAAGATACCCAAATTCGCGGTGTGCAGTTCGTTGCACTTGTTCTTCTGTTTTTGTCGCTCAACTACCCTTGAGACGATTGGCCTCCTTTTGAAACGAACAAACCTAAAATTTATGTAACATAAATGCAAATCAAACACGTTCGTTCACAATAAATCAAATCGAAAATCCTATCAGTGACACACAAATCAATTTCTCGTGCGATGTATGCAAATGAATTAAATGTCTTCGTTCATTATTAGCAACAACTTTAAGGCCGCCCGCAGTTTTTCTGCTATAAAACTTGATTTTGCTTCGGTTCAATCCTAAACTTAGCTGTCTCGATGAGGAAATAACTAAGAAACGGATGTCATGCAAACTAAATGCAGCTCAAATAGGTGGCATTGCACATTGGTATTAACCTAGACCGTGGTTGATATTATTGAATCCCGTCAGATCAGTGATCCAAGATATAGCTCAGTTTGGCTATGCAAGCTGGTCACCCGCGGACACTTTCGCGTCAATGCACTCACTGGGCTCAGTGTACTGCTTAGGAGAATTATCGGCTCTCTGAGACGCGAGGTTTCAAAAAAAACCTGGCTGCAAATAGCAGTAAATGTTCACCCACCGATTGCTTTGGTGTTTGACGTACAGTGAAAAGGAGCCTACCGTGCGAAACTCAGCATCGCTTTCCTTTATTGCTTAACTTAACTTAACTAAATATGGTCCAAAAAAGAAAGGAAGCTATGCGAATAATCTTTTTCACTGTAATGTTGCATACTTTTGGTTAACTAATTTTGCTTGCCTATATAGTCATAGTGTATTCATTTCATTCACTAGAAACATGAATCCAAACAGTCCAGATATTGGTCGTCGTGCTTTGGGTTCTAGCCTCATGTCAGGCCCTGCTTGCCCTGAAGCAAGGGATTTTGGTTTCCTAAACAAACTGAACACTTTGTCCCGTGCTCGACGTCGGAAGCAGGAAGCGGACGATTTGGCTGAGGAAGCTCGTCAGGCAATGGAAGATCCGTTGCACCCGGCGCCGTTTGAACTGAGTCTTGATGGATTTCAGCTGGCCGAGGGTGAAGAACGATCAATGATTGAGCCACAGTCGAAGGTGAGAAAGAGTTTGTTACTGATTGAATGAAATTTAATCATTAATAAGCGCAGTTAGTATTACCGTCTTTCAGGTGGGTATTTGCAACGAACCTTGTGGATTCACGAATGTGTCCAAGGAGCTTGCAGGGCTTTGGGTACACGAATCGTTAGCTGGGAAACAAGGCACAATAGAGGGCATATTTTTAGAATAATTATATTTAATCGTGCCTGGACAGATCATATAAGGGTTTGTTGCTAGTGGAGACACATTTTCACGCTGGGTCAAAGGGTCATTTGGGATGAGGAGAGGAGAGGG